AGTTCCACAGGTTGACTATTTGTTTTGTGAAGAAGAACTTTCTGTTGTTAGTTTGAAGCCTGCTACCCATTCATTTAATTTGGTGTCCTTTAGTCCTTATATTATGGGAACTAATGAAGAACTTTTCTTTATGCACCCCTCTCCACACCACTCATGTTTTTATAGACCTCTATCATATCCCCTCTCCGTCTTCTCTTTTCTAAGCTGAAAAGTCCCAGTCTCTTTAGCCTCTCTTCATATGGGACCTGTTCCAAACCTCTGATCATTTTAGTTGCCCTTCCCTCTCCCACCCTCCTTCTTCCCCTCTCCCACCTCCTTTTCCCAGTCTCCCCGAGTTTTGTTCAATAAAGAGAGTTTCTATTTTTGAACACGTGTGTCCTTTATTTTGTACCTCAGGAAGGGGGGCTAGGGAGGGGTAAGTGGAAGGAGGTGAGGGAGGAATGGGGTACGAGCCCCCGATGGGGAGGACTGGGCTGGCTCTGTGGGCTCCTCAGGGTGGAAGCTCTCCTGCAGCCCCCCGATTGACCCTCCTCCCTGGATGGCAGCCTGCGGCAAGTGCAGCTGGGCTGATGGCCAACTGCTGTGATGGGCCAAGCGTGGGCACTCAGGGCGCTCTAAGCCAGGACTGCTTTGTTGTCCCTCATCGAGTTAGAAAAGCAAGCGGGGAACCCCTGAGAACTGTCTGTCCGGGGTGGGGGTTGGGTTAAGCACAGCCCTCGGCTAGCCTGAGACATTCCTGAGTCCTAACCTGATGCCCTGCCGGCACTGCTTCCAGCAATTCTTAACCCTGGTTCAGGGTCCACTCAATGTGGACATGCTAATTCGAATTAGCAAAATGCTAATTCGAACTAGTTTTAAGGTCTAGATGCACTAGTTCGAATTAGCTTAGTTAAAATTAACTAATTCGAATTAAGTTAGTTCGAATTAGTGCTGTAGTGTAGACATACCCTGTCTCAGCCTACCTATGGGTCACTTTGGAGTCAGGAGCAACCAAGAACTTTTGTATTTCTGAGCACTAAAAAAACTCCCTCTCTTGACCTTGTCCCATCTCCTCTAGCGTCCAGTCCCACGTAGTGTTTAGAATACACCAGGGATATTTTCTATACACTGCCGCAGTGTCTTAGAGAACCTAGGATCAGCCAGTATTTTAGTCAATATGAACATACATTTTCCTCTCTAGAACACATGCCTTAGCATTCCAGTTTTTTAATTAGACACCTTAAACTGTAAAATGTTTTTAAACTTATTGAGTCAGAGTCTCTGGCGGACTAAGGCAGATGCGTTATGAAAGCAACAAACTGGACTTAAACTGACTGGGGACATCCAGTAGAGAATTTGCCCTGTGTGGGGGGCATCTTTGACACTTTCTGTATCAAATAGTCCCCTCTCCTTTCCTTTGGTATAAGGAGAAAATGGGGATGTGCTGGGTCATGGGTGGGAAGGAAGAAAGGGTTGTCACACCAGATCGTTCACTGGAGGGACTTTATATTACTGGCATCAACTGGGGCTGCTTCTGGACTCATAAGCAAATCTCGGATGGAGTGGAGACTCAATCCCAGTGTCTGCAAAGAGACAATCATGAGCAATACACTATAGCAAGAATGGTAGAGTCTGATCTGTCCTCCCACAGAAAACTTGCAGGAAGAAAAATAATCACTAAAAACTCATCAAAGTTCACTGCCAATCCCCACTCAAAGTGAAGTGGCTTGAAAGGGGAGACAGGATTCAGACCTGAAACCAGGGCTCAAAACCTCCACATGGAAACCAGGTTACAGAACACTGGGTTCTAGGGTTGCAGTGCAACGTGCCAGATGCTCCCTATTCTGACATGGTTACCTTTGGATTCATGCTGCCATTAGTGCAGTACTGACAGCTTTACCCCTCCCCTACCAACACAAGTAGAGGGGAGAACCCAGCCCACAGACACAGGAAAAAATCTAAGTTAAGTATCAGAAACCTCTTAATAAACACATAGAATAAAATAAGCTTCCAAGGGATACTGTGGAATAACCATCACAGGAGATATCCAAAGCTGGACAAGGCAACCATTGACAATTTAAGAACAACAAAATTAGTGCTGCCATGTTTCATGAGGGTGCATTATGGGTCTTATCAAACATCCATTTAAGTCAGTGGAAGTATCTCCATCAACAGGCATTGGATCAGACTCTATATGACCTTCTTCCATCCCAAAGGATTCTGACATTATGTTACTATTGCTATTTTTATTAAAGCAAATAACCCAGAAAACCATTTCAAAACCAAGCATGGAGTAAGAGCAACAGCTTCAAAATCATTTGTAAATAAAAACCTCTAAACATGATTTTTTTTTAATTCAAATGCCACAAGTGGAAAAGGATGGAGAAGTAGAGCATCAGTTCAGTTGAACCACTTCGTGGACTACAAGAGAAAAGATTTAGTTGTTTTAAACAAGGTAAATATGCTATCCACCATATTCGACTTATTCTCACACTGAGTGACATGCAGTATAAATATGTTTTGTTTAGTACTTGTCTGTTGTACACCATCTGCTTAAAATAGTTAGACAAAAATGGATCCCCTTAGGGTTTAAATTTGTTGTCAGAAATAGATCAGTGGATACAGGGAACTTTCTTCTATCACTGGGTAGCTTAGAACAGCCTCCAGGAAATGATATAGGAGCTGTATTCCAAAAAAGGAAAAAGTATTCAGAAATGTTTGGCTTTCAATCTGTTCCCTCTGCAACCTATTTCATCACAGTAGAGAAAAGCAGAGTATAATCTGTAAACTTACCCTCTCTTTCTGAGTCACAGCTGAAACTGTGTTAGCAAGGATTTAGGATAAAGATGCTTTATTCCATGTCCACTGCTAGTCTGACAGGCGACCTCAAATGCTCTGTCCAATCACAGCAAATAGATAAGAAAAAGAGCAAAAATATATACAAAAAGTTTAGTAATTTTTTACTTAAGATTTCTTGGTTTATAGACTGTCCCCAGTCAAGGCAAGCAACTTTCAACAGCAGCAGTGGGAGTTCCACGTTCTCAAACATTAGTGGCGGGCCATGCTAGCTGACCAGAGCTCAAGCTGCAGGTCTATAAAATTGCATTGTAGGCATTCAGACTAGGGAGCCTCAGTCCAGTCAGTGGACAAGGGCTACCCATGAATGTTTTATTGCAATGTAGACGTACCCTGAGTGTTAAGAAGTTTAAGGACAAAGGACCCAATTCACAAATGTGCAGCACCCAATGCATTCTTTTAAATGACTGCAAAGTGAATGCAAAATGTTCCTGTACTGGAGCCTGAATGTCTATACTGAAATTTGACAGCCCTATGGTCTGAGCCCTGAAAACCCACATCAGCTGACATGGACCAATGTAGACTCACCCTAAGACTGCTTATAGCTCTATTTCATTCAGTAAAAATTAATGCAAGACAGAAATACAATTTTCCTGCCAATTCATTTGTACTGAATGATATGCCTTTCAGTCACAAATCACTATGAATTATAGTAATTACTCCACTAAGAAAAAGTGCAATTTGTTAACATTTGCTAGCAAGTTTAACATTTCTATAGCTATTGAGTTAGGTATACAGAGAAAGGTCCTGAACACTGGTATCTTATTTACTGCATTTGAATTTTTAAAAAACTGTCAAGTTAATTTTTCTCTTGAAACAATGCTTAAATTTGTAAACTATTTTAAAACTGCTTTAGCCATCATTTATCTGCATAGATAATTTACAACTTCATAGACACTATATAAGACAAATGTGTTCTGCAATAAAGTTTCATGGACCAAATTCTGCTCTCATTAACATCTATTCAACCCATTAATATTCTACTTTTGGGTAGGACTGAAAAGTTTTCTAGGCAAATACAGTGTTATTCCTCTTCACAAGATATTGAACAATACTGTTCTAGGCTAGGCAGACTGTCTGCAGCTAGGATGTTAATTTAAGATTTATTCCCTATCACATATAGGATTAAATCCTGCAAAGTCTGAGAGCACTCTCATTGGTTTGTATGATAGTTGATGGTATCCATCACACTGCAGAATTGAACTTCATATGCATATAAAGTTCAAATAATTGGGCCATGATAATATTTAACATGAATAACTTCTGCATATGTCTCTTTCTCTCATCAGAGTGACATCATCATGTCACTCTACATCACCATGTCCCCAACTCCAAGCCCACAGCCCCCAAATGGTCTCGCACCATGCCATCAGTGCTGCCGGCAGGCTTCCACGCTGACCGGCCTCTTTGCCTAGAGCCCTACCGGCTACAGCCCCTCCACGCACCACCCCTAGCCGCCTCACTCACCCTGCTCAAACACTGCCCTGCCAGTGCCATCTGCTGCCTCTCGCCACACTACCAGTGCCACCAGCAGGCTTCCTTGCTAACTGTCCTCCATGAAATGGAGGGAGGGTTGGCAGTTCCATCCCCATGGGCCCTCTGGAGCCCCGCCTCCAGCCTGTAGCCCACGTGGCTACTGTACTGCTTTGTTCTGTATGGCCTAGGCCTATCCCCAGTGTTTGGGGGCCCCACTGCAGGTCTCTCCCTGAGTGAGTGACTCCGGCATGAGCCGGTGACTCGAGGCCAGGCCCCTGGCTCAGGCACGCCCTCCAGGGCTTGCAGTGAGCTGAGCAGGTCTTGCACCCCAGTCACTGCCCCAGCTCTCTGGAGTGGCTGCTCTGCTCTCCGGGTTCCCTGGGCTCGCCACAGAGCAAAGCTGCCCCAATAGGCCCATTCAAAAAGGCTGGGCGAGGGGCGGGCTGTTGCTCCTGCTACAGTGGCTGGGGCTCTGCTACCCAGCCTGATGGTGTTCCTTGAGGGGGAGAGGCAAGCAGCTTGATGAATTCATGGGAGGGGGCAGGGTGTGTGTAGGGAGGGAGGGGAAGAGGGATATGTGGGGATGAGGATGTGGGGATGGGCAGTGCAATAAGGGCACATGGGGAGTGAGGGAGATATAGGAATAGAGGCAGGGGGATGGGCAGTGTGGAGGGGGAGGGGCTAGGGAAGGATGGGGGTGTAGGAATGGAGGTTGGAGGTGGGGGTAGGGATGGAAGGAGGGGGGTGGGTTCTGGGCCATGGAGCTCCGGGATAAGGACTAGCGAAAGTGGCCAGTCAGAGGGGGATTGGCGAGCATAGTGAGCAGGGGGAGCAGCCCCCTAGTTGACTTAACTTATGAGTCCTTTTCTATTCTCGTACCTCATTATCCCTCACAAAGACAGGGAGGTAAAAATCTAAAAAGAACCAAAAGAAGGAGACTGACTAAGCAATAGCACGCATGTGGCAAAAAAGAGAGTTCCTAGCCTCTACAGGCTTTTCAATTCCCATGTAATCTGAGGGCTATGAAACCTTTCTTAAGATCATAAGGATTGCATATGGGTACCTGTCCCCTCTCCTCCCATCATGTATGTCAGTTTACACAAACACAGAAGAGGAAATGACTCTTGTCCACTTTGTATTTTCTTCATGGCCCAAGAATATCTAAAACTCAATACTATTTAATAAAAGGTTCAAGTCTTGAAGGTACAGAGAGGCTCACAGCTGGAACAGTTATTTTGTTCACCAGGCTGTGTACAAATCAAAATATACAACTGTCTTGTTACTGAACAGAGAAAAAGAAAACTTGAAGTATTCTGATTCTCCAAAGCATCTAGAAATATCATTCTTTGGAAGTTGTACTTTCAAGAATTAGGTCAGAGCGGCCTGCACTAGTGTGAAGTATTTGTAGATATGGTGGATTGCTTGGAGGATTATATTATAGGCATTAGTACTTACAAAATTAGTCCTGATGAAAAGTTCTACATTCAATGTGTTACAAAATGGATTTCTTAATTTTTCTATCAAGTAATTACAACAGACTGTAAGTTTAATGTTCTCAAAATGATTCTCCAATCTACCTCCAATCTGATCTGCAGGGAATAACTACACCTACCATACCCCTTAGTCTGTTCTGAAATTGCCAACAATAATACCGAATAGCACCAAATACTGTGATTTTGTTCTGATGTGTATAGAAATAGTTACTAGATTAGGAGCTAAGCACTTGGCCATTTAGGCTGGAATTTTCATAACTGCCTAAGGATGCTAGGCACCCAGCTTCCCATTGAATTTCAGTAACTCAGACTCATTCTGCAGCAATGTTAAATGACCCAAATTCAATGAGAGTTAGGCATAGCATATACCTACTTAGGCACCTATAAAAATTGCAACCTTATATTTGCCCTTATCTAATGTTCCATATTGATTCTACTACACACAAAAGTAGTATTAACACAGACCCATCATATGGGGTTGTGGCTGATTAATGAATAGCAATTGTTAATCACTTCAGAATAGAAATTCTCTATAAAAAAATTGTTGGCCAGGTTCAACTCCATTTTAACACCAGTATATCAGAAGAAAACTAGATGAAAAATGTTTATACATAAGTAGAAGTGACATTAAAATTTAGGTTGTTCATTCAAGTAGCACTAAATCAGTTTGGAACCTGGTCTATAGTCTCTTCCATTAGATCTCATTTTGCTGCGACCAACAGGATTAGTAATGGTGGTGAATAATCTTAGAATTTTAGAACAATGTTCTCAGGAAAATAGATGCAGTTTTAATTTAAGGAAAGAATGTCTAAGTCTATGTGCAAAGATGTCCTTGGAAGATTTCAGTATGCCTCTGCTTTGGGTGGTAAGGAGTTAATATTGCATGACTTGACCTTTAATGAATGAGTCAGAAATCCTGGAACCAAAGTTTTCCATTTTCTGTGTTTGTATTTTATTTAGCTATACAAAGAATTTGAAAGAGATTAGGTTACTATTAATGTCAAGAGCATATTCCTCTACTAATGACTATAGGAATTTCGGGTATGATTTTGCATAAATCATTTTGATAGCAGTTTGCTACATTTCTATTAATTCTGCCTAGTCTTTTTGACTAATCAGTTGACAACAAAGAGCTAGCAAGGTATTTTATCATTAAGAACTGACATGTCCAAACACTGGACCAAATTTTGAGATCCTTATTCAAGGTATGATCATACTCATATGGGGAGAAACTGGCCTAAAGGGAATTACAAGAAGGGAAATGTTTGCAAGGTTCTTCTTGCAGAGACTTCTTAATCATTCTAAAATCAGGGAGTTTAGGGTCTTGTCTCCTGCTTATCATGGGCTCAACAATAAATACAGTAGATTCTGGGTATTAGAAGGAGACTGGTGTCTTCACAATGACTGTGGATCCCCAGTGACTGCTTCTTTCTGCCCATATTCACAGGACTGCTAAACTGGCAGCCATCCAAAGGACTTTAAGGCAGGATACCGTCAATAGATGGTTGCTCTGGAACTAACATAGCAACAAGCTCCACTCGGCAAGACAGGGGACACACTTTTACACCCTCTCCAATGCCCTCCAAAGACCGCTGCAGATTGTTTATCCTAACAGTCTAAGGAAACAGAAGGGGAAGGTATATTGTCATGGAGCCAAGTAAGAAGAAAGTGATCATGCATAAGGAGATCCCCATTTAGATTTGGGGGCAAAACTCTTAATTATTACTTCGACATTACTCAAGCAAACTCATATTAGCTTCAGTGGAAGTTTGCCTAAGAATTGACCGAGTCAATTAAAGACATCAAGATTTGGGCACTCTAGATGTAACGTTTACAACATGAACAATTGTACTTTCTTTCTTACAGCCACCACAATAGACTTGTGTCACATGTGAGCAAAAGATCATGCAAGTACTTCCACTGCAGGATTAGGATCTTAGATTGCTGCTATGTCATAGCCTAATAGAGCATGCAGTCAGGAAGCTCTTTCAGATATTAATGCAGATTTTTTCTCCTTTTAATTTCAACCTTTCCAAGTCATATGTCATCGGTTCGTCTTCCTGCTTCATG